GTGCTGGCCGTTTTCCCCATACATAGGTTCCGGTGCTGCTCTGGCCTGCTGCCCTCTCGGGATACAACAGCCCGTTCGCATCGCTGACCTGCGCCGCCTCTCTGTCTTGGAGCACGGTTGCTTGCAGTCCATTTCCCGTGTGTGTGGTGACTGCATTATGTAATAAATGTGGAAGTTTGACAGCGTGTCTTGGTACGAGGAAGCCACTAGCTTGAGGAGCTCGCTTCGCTGCATCAGTTGTATTGGCTTGGATAAGTACTGCGCATGCCCGCTCATCGTTTTCCGTGAAAGGAGCTGTTCGCGGTTGACGGACAGGACTTGAGTAGACGGCGCGGTGGACAATCTACATCGGAAAGCCGCATGAAAAACCTGACGAAACAGTTGGCCTCGGTTGGTTGTTCTTGACTCCCTGGTTGGGATTTTAGAGATACAGGACGTCGCTACTTGGAGACCCTAGAAGTCATGGCTCAGGGCCGGAGTCCTGTGATCCATCACCCCAAGTGCGCTACGATCACGATGAGTTTTTACAGAGTCTAACTGACAGACTCCTCGACGCTGGTGAGGACTCGATAAAAGTGAGGCAAATTACTCGTCTTGGAAAGCAAGCGAAATCGGCCTATGAGAATCACTTTTGTGGACGAAAGCAGTCCAAGACTGATCATGCCCCGCCTAAGTAGGCTGAAAGGTTTGAAGATCCAAGATCGTCCAGATCGGGACCCAGTAGACATGGAGCGGATCATGTCTGCCATCATTGAGCTGAAAAGACGTACTGGTGAGAGCGAACCAAATGTTCGTATCGTAATCGGCGAATCAGGATACACAGGCTGCTCACATTTCAAACACGCCTGCGGCTCCTGCTGTGGTCTGCGAGAAGCCTTCACAAAGGGTTGCAGTGTTATGAACAAGCGCGATGAGCTGTTGTTTCGTTGCGTCTGAGCGGCCAGACGTAATGGGACTCGCAGAGACACGGCTGCATTCAGAGTTATACACCCAGAAACTTGGACTCAAAGGTTACTCGTGCTTCCGATGCGATAGACTAACGAATGCCCGCGGTGGTCTTGCTTTACATCCAGTCTTCCCTGCGTGGGAGACTTGTGAGCACCTACTGAAGTGACGATGATATGTGTGAGCTACTGTGGTGCACCATCCACCTCAGGCGCGGAGAACTAGTTGTGGGTGCAGTTTATCGCAGCCCATGAGTCGTTGTTTGGATTGGCTATCCCATCTTCGAACCCACATGAGTCGGCCACACTTTACCTATGGGCGATTTTAACTGTCCTCGAATACGATGGCCCGATGTGCATTTGATGCCTAGACATAGTGAGGTTGAAGCAAAGTTCATGCATTTGGTACTTGGAACTGGTGCATCGCAACACATATGCAAGCCAACACGCATAACACGCTCAACCCCGTCCTGTCTCGACCTGATGTTAACGAGCTACGAACAACGAGTGCGTGACGTTCGGATGCTGGAGCCGCTCGCTACAAGCGACCACTCAGTGCTCATAGCTGATATGGAATTACCTTTGTTGTATTCACATCCGCTGGAACCAGCTTACAACTACAATAAAACGGACTTCGATGGTCTAGCTCGAGCCGCAAGCCAACTGCATTGGTCTCTGTCACGAGCTGCATCTGTGGAAGACTGTTGGATACGTATAAAAGAGAGATTGACATAATTGTGTTCCCAATTTGTGCACTTGAAATGTCGGAAGGTTGGACCGGTTAAGTTTCAATGGTTTGACAAGGAACATGGAAATCTAGCTCGGAGACGGCGCAGACTGTGGGACTCCGACCACGCACTTGTTTGCGCCGACCTCCGGGTGCGTTTCGGTGGACGTCCGCAACGTCGCTCTGAGCGCACTGACACCAGCCAGCTGGCAAAGCCAGGTATTTTGAATTTGTATCAAAGTGCGCTGAAATTCGGGCTGAATAAGCGCCCCCTAAACACCGTCGAAGATCAATGATTGCATATTCCTCAAACGGTTCTATCAGCACCCATGCCTTCATGTGGCAAATCAAATTGCCGAAATGGACATTGGGTCTCTATATTGTCTCTGAAACTTATGGATGCTCCCCGACGTGTTACGGCTGGAAGCGAATACAGAATATGAAGACTCGCAAAGCTCTCAGGGCGGAACTACGTGATAGCCTGAAGAGAGACCGCGAAGCCTGGTGGTCTCATCGTGCCTCAGAGATGGAATCAGTCGCTGCCGTTGGTAATCATCGTAAGTTATTCTGTCTGATACGGAAAAAAGGCAGCAAGTGACCTAGTGTTAGCCAGACCATAAGCGACGAGAGTGGACAGCCGATCCACAGCCTGTCAAAACGTTTTGAGCGTTAGGCTGAACATTTTGCAAAGCAATGTAACCAATCCGTGTTATCGCATTTTTTCGGGCATTGAGCGCCCTTCTTCCTGAGCCGTCTCCTTGGATCCGCTCTCACGCGCAGAACCCGAATGTGAGTTGAGGTTGTTCAAATTGCATAAAGCCGCAGGGCCAGATAGAATTCCCCCATCATTCTCCAAATTCGGTGGGACCAACATTTGTAAATGATGTACACCAGCTGCCAGTGAAACTGGAAGCAGGAGACTGTCCCGACAGACTGAAGCCGCTCCGTCATTGTTCCAATTTTCAAGCGAGGTTCCCGTTCGGAATGTGGCAATCATAGAAGGATCAGTCTGATCTCAATTGCCTCTAAATTGCTTGCGTCTGTCGTTCTCCACAGACTAACTGGCACCCGGGAAAGCCAGATGCGTGAAGAGCTAGCCGGTTTTCATCGAGGTCGGGTTTGCATCGACCACATCTTCACCTTGCGTCAATTGTTAGAGCACCACGAGGTTTATTGGCGACCCACCGTTGTCGCGTTTCTTGACATACTCCGATTCAGTAGATCGATATGCCATTTGGGAATGACTACTGTGGAAAGGTGTGTCTGATAAATGTGTAAACATTATCAAAGCGCTGCACGCGCATAATTCGGGCGGAGTGAAGGTTTATGGCAAAGTGTCGGCACCCTTCAGTATGACTAGCGGTGTGAAACAAGGTTGCCCGCTCTCACCTTTCCTCTTTAACTTCGCTATTGATGAAGTCATGGAAACAGCATTCACTGGACACGGCCTAGAAGGCGGAAAGCTACTTCCTGGTGAGCGACTTTTTGACTTGGAGTATGCGGACCATATTGCCCTAATCTGTGACAGCTCTCAAACATGCCAAGCAGCAATTGCTGTCTATCCTTTTGGACTATGCTTTGCTCCATCGAAATGCAAAGCACTGCGCAAACGCTTGGTGGTGATCAGCTAGAAGTCGTTCAAGAATTCAAGTACCAAGGCAGCTATATTAGCACCCGTAGGATCGAAGAAGAGGTTACGAACCGTATAGCAAAAGCTCGAGGCGAATTTGCCGATCTCCGCCACCTGTGGCGCAGACGTGACATTACTCTCGCCCTGAAGGGCACGGTTTAGAACGCTGCTGTCCGTTCAACCCTCCCATATGGTTGTGAAACCTGGCCCATTAGATCGTCACATTCGACCATCGCTGCGTTCGCAGCTTAGCTCATGTCTAGTGGGAACACCGCGTGAGCAATGAGCGTGTTCGGCGTCGCGTATTTGGTGTAGGAAGAGCTAGTGAACCGCTCAGCACCATTATATCACGCACCAGGCTCCGATGGCTGGGCCATGTATTGCTCATGCCAGCCCACCGAATTCCGCGAAGTGCATTGTTTGCGCGCCGGGGGTGCGGTTGGAAAAGGAGGGAAAGTCAAGCGATGACTTAGTGGAGAGGAATGAAAACCTTCGCTTCGAAACTGGCGTCGGTTGGTGAACCGGCTGTCTTGCTGGGGTCCCAAGGATGGTGAACACGTTTGGTTGGACACACTTGCTGATATGGCTAGGAGCCGGCCTCAATGGCGTTTGTGTTGTGAGTTTCTTTGTCCATACCCCTCCAGTCCCGATCTCATGCAAAACGCATACTATATTTAACATCATAATTTTGTAGTGTAATTTTTTAGTCTCTTATCCTTTTGTATTGCGGCACATTAGCTGCGGTGTGTTTCTCACTCGCAGCTAACGTGTGCTGATGATGATGATGACTGACGTCTGTGGATTTGAGAAACTTGTCCGAGTAAGCAAGGGCAGTGACTTTATTTAATGGCGAGTCACATCGGCCACGTCACAGTGTTGTTAAGACATTAATGGCTTTTTATAGGGAGAACGCTTGCCAGGTGAAAAGTTACCACGTCCTAGAACACTGCCGCCGAACTATTTGCTGGAACGCGTTAAACCCAAACCACAAAGCTGGCACCACGGGAAGGTTGTTCGGCTAGCTGTGTGACATGACAGATGGTGCTTGGGTACGGAGAACATACAGTTTCATATAAAACACGTAGCTGAGATTTGGATTATTGTACACATTATTCAGCAACTATAAGTATGATAGAGTTAGTTTTACAACGAAAGTGAGAGGTAGACTGATCCTACTAGGTGGTCGCAAGGACTGCCCGCATCACCAGTGTGTGCCAACAACTGAGTCGGGTCGTGTAATTCGGTAAGCTGGACATGATAGTTGGTGGCTCAGATCCAATGGAGACGCTTTCACTCCTCTCAGAGTACGCTTTACTGCCCAGCTGGTTGGATGCAAACGAACAGATGAGAAGAGTATAGCAACACAAAGAATTTTCATGCAGTATAACAACCAAGGCAGACTATAATAAGCACTTGGTAGGGTTTACCTGGTCATAGAAGCAGCACAAGCGATAGTGAGTTCGACGTTATGAGTGTGCGTTCATATGGTCGAAGAACGCACTGAAGTCCTCGGGCGAATGTGCCAGTGAATAGAACTAGACGAACAAATAGTTTAGCAAAAAGAACATTTTGATGGATCCGGACAAGTAGCTCCCATGGGGTGTAACTAAGATCTTAATAATAATTGCTTAAAAGCAAGTTTTGAAAATTCCTATCGACTGGAGGCGCTACCTGATCCATTCGAGTCAAGCACTAGGCATAAATAAATTGTCATTGTATTTGTAGGTTAAAATAAAAAGTTGGCAAAATAGAAATTCGGCAAGTCACGCGGTTGAAGTTTCGGCGCGATGTGGTCCACCGGTTTTCCACACTGTAAAAAATGTGACGCCTCGGAATTGTTATGGCATCGCATGGCAATCAGGGCGAACACAACTTAAAACGGACTAAAATAAAAAGAGTAAGAGAGACCGATGGATCCAGTACCGAGAATTGACTTCATATCAACGCTTATCAGAACAGCCAAGATAATAACGCAGAAAAAATGGTAAAGCAAAGCACAACATTCAATTTGGAGATGCAATCTATAAGACGGAAGCGACGAGTTTAAATATAAAGGATCAAAAAAAGACTGTTGATAACAGAGAACGAACATTGTGTTAGGAACCAGTTTACAAATGTTGCGCGGAAAAGCAAATGTGGAAAAGAGCGAGGAAATAAATGCAGACTCCAGATGTGTGGGGACAGGTGCAGCAGCAGGTGCTCATCACAGATATCGGAATGGCGATTACTAGAAAACGCACAAGACAATGGAGATGGGATGAGGTATGCCAGGTAGCGTGCTGATGAGAAACGACGCGCTGGAAACAGGATAATAACCAGGAATGATACCACCACAATCTGAAAAATGTATTTCAGTACGCTCCACGATAACCAGCACCAGTACCACCAGCAACGACGCCTCGAACAGCTTCGACAGCGGCTTTTTCGTATTGCTGGCCGTGAAAGGCACTCGCATCAGCACCAACACCTTGACTGGGTTGCGGGTAGCCCGGTTCGGTAGAAATGGTAGCCGGTGACCCGGACCCAATGAGGACACCTCCACCACCACCTTCGGAATGCGCTTTCTTGGCCCGCCTATTGAATATGGAGAGAAGAGAATACGCATGAAATGATGTATTCCGTAGTGAATACGGGCGTCGCGTAATATTATTGTGCAGAAAAAGGTGCTAACAGAGAAGTGCGCTTTGAACGAGACCGGGCATAAATCGTTGAAAAAATAAAATAAACTCAAAGTGACATCCAGCGCAATTCGATTAAATGGAATATAACCAGGGCAGGTTGTGCATATTCACAGTAAGGAGCAGTCTTTCGAATAATGACAGAAGTGAGCAACGTAATGTAGCTTATACAGGTGTGTGAGACGAAGCGATACCCAAGAGTCCGTAAGCTCACAGGCAGTAGCCTAGTTAGCTGAGCGATTCAATATGTAATACCGGGTGGTGCGCGCAGAAACCAAAAGAGGTTAAATGACCACCTGCTACATTCAGGAAGACAGCCAGTTGAGAAAACCAAGTTAAATAATGGTCTCAGGTAGACGACACTGCAGCATGTAGTATGAAAACCTTGCGATCGGCTGATTATCAAGTTGCATTGCTTTGCAAAGATGAGATGAATTTATTTTAGCCGTTGGACTTTCCTGAGCAAGTTGTTCTAGTTATCCAACGACTGCTTTTAAGGAATGTGTAAATGGAACCTAGACACCAAAAGCGACGAGATTGGGTGGAAGCAATTGCGAAGCGTCTCGCGCGGTGTGTGCCAGATTAATCTGATGCAACCATCGAGTTGAAGTAGTATAGTAGTGTATGTACCTACTAAGAGTCCAACCGTATACGCTTTAATCGGCAATATTCGAGCACACTGTGTCTACTTGGCAAGAAGTAAAGAACGATACAAGGAAGCGCGCGAATCGGAATAGCAAACCAGGGCCGAAGAATTCATGTACCAATCCGGTTGTCCGAACTATTCAGTAGAGCAAAGTGATACACGACTCAAAGCCTTATAGCTCTAAACGAGAGCAAAGGTATCAACCGGAATCAGGTGCTCGCCACCAGCAATTGCAATACGCGAGGAGAACAGTGTCGGCAGCTGAGAACTGGCCCTCGATTTACAACAATCTGTTAAGACGGATGTATAGGCTATCATGGATATATCAAGATCAATTATTCGAGTGTCACACACATAATGCCACCAAGTACGGGAATGAAACTCTCAACAAAGGCACTGGATTTCGTGAAAGATCCTATTCCACGCGAATATCTCTTTGCATACTCATCAATCATCATCATCATCACACGTAAGCCGAGAATGAGAAACACACCTCAGCTAATGTGCCGCAATATAAAAAAGTAACAAATTAATCAATGTAGACTTAAAAGCTATAAGAAGTAACATAATGCCAACATCACATTCGTGATCGTTGTTGGGGGGAAGTTAAAGGGAAGGGATGACAAAGTGACTCACGACACAAACGCCATTGAATTCGACTCTGCCACGTCGCCTAGTGTACCCAACCAAAGGTGTTAATCATACTTCGGTCCCCAGCCAAGCAATCGCGGAACACCAACCGACGCCAACTTCGAAGTGAGGGTTTTCATTCATGTTGATCAAGCCATCACTTGGCCTCCCATCCTCCCCTTCCAACCGCACCCCCGGCGCAAGCTATGCAAGCTATGTGTGTCTACGATCGCAAAGCACACCGAGCCGTTCGGCTGGGAGAAGTGAACGTTAGCAAACACCACAGCCGAAATTGACCTGTCTTGCGTGGATTACACGGCAAGACCATGGGAATACATGCCGTTTGGCTTTGAGTACTGAACGTTAGCCAGACACCACAGCCGCAATGAATGCGTTATGCCTCGAGCGCAGGACACGACCAACGGAACGCATGCCGTTCGGTTGTGAGGTAAGCGTCTGCCCGATAGCACAGCCGCACTGAACATGTCATGCTTCGATCGATCAGTAGTCGGTTTTCACGCAGGTGAAAAGTCAGCAAAAGGGTTCCCTGCGAAACGGTTAGTGGGTCGCTGTGCTAATAATCGAGGAAACTGCCTGGCCGTATGTGATAAACAGTCAATGGGTGCCGTATTGCTATCGCCACAAAAGCTGTCATCACATCATGACTGGCTTCCTCCAACAAACCCGTAAGCTTTTATTAGGCTGGTTTCGCTGCTAAAGGGAATCATACTGCCTGGAGCACATTGCAAGGTTACAGTGTCGTTCGCTTTACTGTTTCGATCGCGTGTGTGTTACAGCTGAAAATTCACCCTTCATTGATGCATAAAAATGAATTCTCTACATGACTTGACGTGACAATGCTCTTTGATTTCGGTCTTCCCCGACGAACTGGTGGCACTATTAGACAGCACACTAATTTACTCATGAAAGCAACTATTGTCCTCACAGTCAGACAATTGCTAGTTGTACAAATCGATCAGGCCTTCGATGGTGTTTATTGTATACAATGAAGAATATACATTTATTCGTTTCTTTACTTATATTTATATGGAATGTGAAATATCAGTAAATACCAACGAGTTAGATGTTCGAACTGCCCTCCATCGTTTTGGCTACAGAGAAGCAAACGCCGGATGTCGTTGGTGAGCAATTTCTGCAATGTCTCCAATAAAATCTGCCTAAATTCGCTCACAACGTTCTCTTTCAGTTCATCCAGGTTTTTGGGTTTCGTTCTATTAACTCTGAGCTCCAAGCATCCAAATAAGAAAAAATTCATGGGATTCAGATCCGGTGATCGCGCAGTCCATTCTATCGGTCCTCCGCGACCGATCCAACGTCCACCGAATGTCTCGTTCAGGTAGGTATGAACCAATTGCACCGAATGTGTAGGTGCGCCACTTTGCTGCCACCAAAAGTTATTCATTAACGCTTCCGACTGTAACTGTGGAATGACGCTGCTCCGCAACATTCTCATGTACGAGGATGCTAAGAAATGTCAGACATTGGTACTGCAAAACAACAACCTACCGGACACACTCCTGGAAAAGAAAAATGGCCCAATGACTGTTCGAGCAGTCAACCCAGTCCAGGCCATGAGCTTCGCGCTATGTTGTACATGTGAAGCGCTACATTGCCGTGGGTTGGTTGTTGCCCAAACATGTTGCGTAGCTTCGCCATGCAGAAGGAAGACCGCCTCATCGGTGAACAAAATGGAGCGCACGTCAAGACTGTTTACAAACAAATGGGTGAATTCCAGGCGTTTCGGTGAATCGCATGCGTTCAACACTTGCACCTGCAGTGCATTGTACCACCGGAATTTTCCCACTTCAATATCCGATGCACAGCATACGGTGTGGTTTTGCAATGTTGTGCGGGTTGCCGAATGCTGAGATGGTTGTTACTGCATAACTTGCGCAACCGCGCAAGCTGATACTTCATGCGTGACGGTGCGAGGCTGTCCGCTTTGTTTGATGTTTCAAACATCTAATTTGTTGATATTTACAGATATCTCACACCTTTCATGTAAATGTAAACAAATAAATGAATAAGTGTAAATTCTCCATTGCACACCATAAACACCACCGAAGATCTGGTCAATTTATAGAACTAGCAGTTGTTTGACTGTGAGAGTAATAGTTGCATGACTAAATTGGTGTGCTGTCTAACAGCGCCACCAATACATCGGGACAGACCGAAATCTAAGAGCATTGTCACGTCAAGTCATGTAGAGAATTCATTTTTATGCATCAATGAAGGGTGAATTTTCAGCTGTAACACACACGCGATCGAAACGGTAAAGCGAACGACACTGTAATCTTACAATGTGCTCCAGGCAGTATGATTCCCTTTAGCAGCGAAAGCAGCCTAATAAAAGCTTACGAGTTTGTTGGAAGCCAGTCATGAGGCGATAAAAGCACCCATCGACCGATCATCATATACGGCCAGGCTGTTTTCTCGATTGCTAGCATAGCGACCCACTAACCACTTCGCAGAGAAACCTTTCGATGGCTTTCACCTGCGTGAAGGCCGACTACCGATCGATCGGTAGTGTGGCTGCGGTGTCTGGCTCACGACCAGTTGTCACAGCCGAACTGTATGCTTTGCCTTGGTCTTGCCCTGCGATCCACGCATAACAGGTCGATTGCGCCTGTGGTGTTTGCTAACGCTCAATTCTCATAGCTGAACGGTCCGGTGAGCCCTGCGATCGTAGACACACATGTCGCGCCTCCCTGCCCCATCTCACCCCTGCTGGCAAAGCAATTAGCGACATTGGACAGTTAGCAATTTAGCGCACCGGAGTAAGTCAGTACCTGAGTGCGCCACCCTTACCTCCGGACCTGATTAATAAAACACCCTGCATTTGTACCAAATGCGCAGCGCCGTACACGCTCATTGCTCATGCGAAATTAGCTAAGCTGCGAAGTTACCGATAGATTTTGACTACTACTATGTCGTCCTCTTATCCTCCAGAGCTCATGACTGCTTACGCACCACCATCACACGCCAATCAATAATTCCTGATGACAGTTTCGCCCAGGTTCAAAGAGTCCGACTAATGACCCCATTTCGTCATCGATCTCCATTTCGGCTGGCGGCCTTCAACGTTAGAACCCTTATGCAGATCGGACAACAAGCCGGCTTAGCGCGCACCTTGGAGTCCCTCGCTATTGATGTCTGTTTTCTTTCTGAGACGGTTACAGACACCAGTACCGTAGTTAAGTTGTCGTCCCCCACTGATCTCAGGGTCAAATATTTTCTACATTTGTCTGGTGACATAGGGGCGGCTGCAGCTAGTCTGGCTGGCCTTGACATCGAATTGGGTGAAAAAGCTGAGGCCTCGTTGCTCGACTGGTTCTCAATTGACAGCCAATTGTTTGCGGTTCAACTTCAAGGCTCGTGCAAGATCAACAGGCATCGTACAGAGAGACACAACTTGTTTGTGGATTCTGCCTACGCTCCAACCGACTGCAGTTGTGCACCGGTTAAAACGACTTCTATCGCAGACTCCACCAGTTTTTAAGCAAAGCGGGAAAATCCGATGTTATCGTTCCTTCTGGAGACTTCAATGCACAGGTCCGTTGCCTGCTGCCATGCGATCGTTATCTTGGTGGAAGTCACGC